AAAGTTCAAGGGGGCCGAATACTTTTGCAAGACACTGTATGTGCTTGTTTCTGACCAAACTGTCTCCAGACTCCACGCGGGCCTAACATCCTTTCAGTGGGATCTGTGCTCACCGCTCAGCAGCGCACAGCTCGATTAGCACTCGCCTAAATGAAAGAGAACGCTGTGGTGAACATCTTGCAGCCTAAACATCATTTAGCATGGCCGCCTTAGTTAGTAGTGGCGTAGGTGGGGGACGTATATTTGGTGACCAGCACTCTTACAACATAATTACTTTCAGGTCACTTCACTCACTTGGGGAAACTTCCTAACAAAATCTGACTGTTTGAGCCTTTGGAAAGGATGGAGTAGTAAGAACTGGAGGAAGATGTGAAATGTGTACATCTCTGACTATAAAAGTTCATCAATCCTGAGCTGTTTCAAACAGCAGTTTGTTCTGTTTCATCCAATCACAGGGAATTATTATGGGACGCCCCGCCCCGTCCACATTGGCCCAGAGAGTCCACCAATCACATACCAGGAACATCGAAACCTGCTGAGGAACTTCAGGACAAGGAGCAAGTCTCTGAGTAACCTGGAGAAAGCTGTGGAGGAAGGGGACAACAGTGAGGAGGACAGCGGGCTGACGGGTAGAGAAGCTCACATGTAACACATCCCAGTCTTACCTGCACAGGTGTGTTTGCGCGTTGACGAGATTCTCTACCAGCAGGATCAGCTGGAGCCCCGCCCACAACCCTGCCTCTCAGCCAGTCATGGGAGTCCGCGGTAGGAATGGAGAATGGAGGAGGGGGAAGAGGAGTAGGGAGGGGAAGAGCGGGAGTGGGAGGTCCGCTGCCGGAAAACTGGGAGCTGGCCTACAGTGATTCAGGGGAGCCGTATTACATCGAGTGAGAAATACTTATCAGTTCTTCTTCTGGTGTCAGCTGATTTAATCCGTTTGATTATGGCCATCAGAAAAATATGTTGAGGAAAGCCATGGACGCTGTAATGCTGTTCAAACTTTAAATTTATCTTTTTTCCAATGAAGTCTGGTACATACAAAATATTTGATCCTTTAAATGTCTTATTCTGTGAACCAGTCCTGCTTGTTTTTGTTGTGTGAGTCAGTTTTTTATTTTCTTGCAAACTGAGACATGAGACCCACAAACAGGAAACTGAGCTGAGTTGCTGAGTGTTTCCTGTCTTTGCAAAAATAATAATTTCCAGTAGCAGGCAGAAAAAGCACTACATTTTAACTTATCCTCAATCTGTCAGATTATATTGTCCAGTGTGTTGATGATGGTGGTGGTGGTGGTGGTGGTAATTAGGATGTGTGTGTTCCTCTCTCCATCAGCCATAATTCAAAGACGACCAGCTGGCTGGATCCTCGAACTCAGAACAAAGAGACGACGTCTTCTACAGAACGTAAGGCGGTTTTAGATCATTCATTCACATGCAATTCATCTTGTTTTGTTCATGATTATGTCACATAATTGCTTCTCTGAAGGACATTTAAAAATATTACAGTCATACCCTCAAATGGTTATATGTTATTTTTAAATTCTAGTTAAATGATTTTTATTTGAGGTGGTATTTGTGTGGAAACTTCCCGTTTCCACACAAACTGCCTTGGATGCTTTCATTCTGGCAGCAGCAGCCAGCAGAGGGCAGCACTGACCCACAAACTCCACTTTTTTTGTTTTTATTGTCACACCAATCAGAAAGAAAAAAGAACAATATAGATGCATGCCTGTCCTCTGTGAGTTTTACACGGAAAGAAAGAGTCCACGTCCTCCCTTCCTGCACATGAACCTCTGGAGTTATACAAGCATCCTTCGAGGATAGGACTAACATTTCCTCTTTCCCTTCTCTTCATCGTTTTTCCTCCTTTGCCTGCCTCCTTTCTTTGTCCCCCATGTCTCCTCTCGCCTCTCAGTCCCAGAGTTCACCGACCAGCCCAGTCAGCTGAAGGGCTACTCCATCCACACTCGGCTCTCTAAAGGTCCTCGAGGTTTCGGCTTCAACATAGTTGGAGGAAGTCGACCCCGAGAGTTTCTGCAGGTGTACAGCGTCACACCTGGAGGACCGCCTGCTCTCAACACAGGTACTGATCACAGTACAGTTTACCTTCAGTTATGTCACAAACCTGAATCTGTTACATGGTTTTGGATCCAGGTTTCTGAAATCCAGGTAAAATGTGTTCAAATGTAAAAGCAGGACGTTTCAAAACCCAAATCACAATCTGGACTCTCATAATCACATAAAAAGCATCATAAAGTGGGAGTTGTTGTCGTGGGTCAGGTGGTCAGAGGAGAGAGGTTGAGATTCTCTCTCTGTGGAGGATTACGGTGCTGTTGATTAAGAAAAATAAAGAGCTGAGTACTAATCTCATGATCTACAACTAATCCACACACGTGCGCTCTCACACACAGTTTAATCTGACCCACGTACCCACGCCTCCTCCCTGTGGGTTGGTTCACATGCTCTGAGATCAGCGTGGAATCAGGAATGAAACAGAGCTACGGAAAAAACAAGCTTAAGACCTGTTCACGTGTTGTGGTTTTCATTTTAAATAGACGAAACTTTGTCACCCAGAATGAGAAGACACAAAACATAAAATCTCATTTACACTTGTAGTCCTCTCGGTTCACACCTGGATTTTGTACCTGTGCCTGTTCACCTTACTGCTCACTGAAAGGCGAGAGAACGTAAAACATCAATATTCTCACTCAAATGATGGATTATGCTTGTTGTGGACGGACAGAGATGCTTCAGGAAGTCAAACTGAGTGTAAAAATGTGTGCTTCATGTCTTTGGATTCTAACTGTAAACTAATTTCTTTGGTAATCACAGATTTCAGCTGCAGCAGCTGCACATATGCACTCCTGCATGTCCTGTTAGACATTAAGACTCTAACCAGTAGATTTTGCTTCCTCGAAGCGGACATCCTGGTCTACATCAACGACACCTGTGTGCTGGGTCGCTCTCACAAAGAAGTGGTGGAGATGCTGAAGTCGGTACCGATGGGTCAAAGCGTGGATGTGGTGCTGAGGAGAGGATACCCGATGCTTTATAACCCCGATGGCTGTCCCAAACAGAGCCTGGAGACGGTACAGCCCTAAATTTACTTTAATTACTTAAGGGCATAAAACTGTTTAAATATCAGTTATTTTAGTGTGATTTTTTTTAAAACTTTTTTCCCATAGAGAGGGTGAAACATTTCAGTGCTTTCAAGTTAAAAGATTCCCCATGACTCCTCTTCTGCCTGCTGTGGGAAACTTTAAGGCCTGTGTAAGAGATCAATGACTTCACAGCCAGTAAAAACAGGCATAAAATACAAGAAATAGCTGCCTTTTAGCACACACTAACATTTCCTCTTTATACAAACAAGCAGAGACAAAAATTAAGCAGAGCCGAGATAAAAACAATGAGTTATCGTGTCTTGTTCTTGTTTTGCAAATGCAGACAGCCAATCTTTAATAATTGGGGATGAGAAGACTTGCACAGCCATTTAAAAGTGAGCCGTGCAAATATTTAGGCCCTTAAATCAGTGGTTCATCTGTGAGGTGGGCTCCACTCGTGGGACATACACTACCAGGGGAAAAGTGTCTAACCTCATATCCGACCTTTCAGCAGCCGCAGACCCCCAGCGAGTCCGGCAACCTGAGCCGAGGCCTGACGCACCTCACCTACAGCCGCACTCTGGACGCCAACGGCAGCACGCCAGGTCAGAGCAACCGTGGAAACCACATGGTTTACATTTACAGTCCTCTACTCTCATCACAGCTGTGTGATGCAAATTTAATTTAGAAACATTAATAATTTATTTTAATTCACTGCATAATAATGTGGCACATTAACAAATAATAAAGGATTGTAAAAACACAACGATTATTTTACTAATTTCTGCTATTTGTAGCCAGGGAGGATGATGTAATGAGCTGCCGGCTCAGGGGTCCCAGCGGGGGTATTTAACATTTCTTGTTGGAAAGCCGATCAAAGGCAGAACAAAAGCGCGAGAGTTTACAATGAAAAGTCTCTACAAAGTGAGAAAGTTATCAAAGTAAGATAAACAAAACACAATGGCTTATCCTGCTGTGGGACCCGTTGGCGTGTCTGCGTGGAGGGTCCCATTGTCTCGCTCTCTGAACTTATTTATAGCTCATGTAAAAGAACACATCACATCAGAGTTGAACCTAAGAACTTTGCTTTTCTCTGACAGCTGTTAAAAATAAAACACAAATGAACAGATTCATCTTCTTCTCTCTATAATCCAGGCCTGGCACAAACCCCGCCCTCTTATGCCACTCAGCCAATGACAAATGGACTCACGGGCCCACCCACCCCCACGTCTTCTGATACCCCACTGGGTCCACCACACCCAGCGGAGAGGACGCTTACCAATCACAGTGACTCTGATGGCGGCCTATCCAATGCAGGAACTCGAAGGTCAGTGAGGGCATCAGCAGTACCTCACACATCGTGGTGCTTCCCTGATTCTTTTGGTGAAAACGAACCTCAAAGGTTCTTCTGTCCTTTGGGAAAAATCCTGCGCAGCTTTAGCAGTGATCTCAGAAGTAATGGTGCTCAGCCTGTTCCACTCTGCTCTTCCTCACAGGTCTTCTCTGATTCGCTACAACAGCAACACTCTCCCCGCCCTCTCTTCCACTTCCCTTCTCCAACATCAGAGCTCCAAGTCCTCAGAGAGTGACCTGTCCACGTCCACGCTCCCCATATCCTCCTCCACGCTCCCCATCACTTCTTCATCCTCACACACTCTTACGAAACTTGCACTCTCTCAGCCCGAGACGGGCCTCCTCCAAAACTCCACCAGTTCCAGCAGCACAAACAACACCCCCTCCTCTTCTACACCTCCTGGTCCGCCTGTGCATCGCCCACTGATGCCTCAGACCTCCCTCGCTCTGACCCCACCCAGAGACATCCCACCCTGTGGCTTTAACGGGTGCCCGGCCAATCACCAAGCACCCTCCACAGCATCCAGAGGAAACCCCGGATTGGTGCTCCCCCTTGGAGCCGGGTCCCCGGGGACAGCCCACGGCGGGGAGCTCGTGCCGGTGGCTCTCAGCCGCAGTGAGAGCGGGGGACTGGGGTTCAGTGTGACAGCAGGGGGAAATGGGGGTCAACAGCCAGTAGTCAGGCGGGTTTGGGATCGGAGGCAGTGCCTGTCGCTGCAGTCAGGAGACATTATAGTGAAGATCAATGGAGCAGACGTCCAAAGCTTCAGCTTCTCCCAGGTAAAAGATTTTTATGGCTTTATCACCTCGCTCGACCTTGATATTCCGACTGACGTTAGCTCAGCAGTGAACAGTTGGTCTTTGGGAAGAGGGAAGCTCTCATGGGTGCTCATGGGAGTTTTGTGGATATTTCTCCGTATATCCTAGAGGTGTTTTATTTCTGTGTGTCAAGGAAAGAGAGATGGTCCTGTTTAACCTAAAAAAGAAATCCTCATCACAGTAGTTTACCTGCCTAAGCCCTCCTTGTTACTACTGACAGACATAGCTATTGGTTAATGAAAACTAACCGATGTCTAATGTGACGTGATGAGTGAGGAACAGATCTGACACTAAAGAAGTTCCATCAGAAGTAATAAACACGAGTTTGTTTCCTTCCTCAGGTGCAGAGAGTGCTGCAGGAACACACCAAGCAGGGAGAGGTTGTACTTCTGGTCTACAGAGGAGGTAGATACGCCCGTTACCCCAACCCTGACTCACTGATGACTGTGACTGTTAATAACACCAAAGCACATCTAAGTATGTCGGGCTCAGGCTGCAGGATGTCTTCGTCTCATCAGCCAATGATTGTGTCATAAATGTTTATGCATTTTGACACTGGTTATATTTGGTGCAAACTAATCAATGTTATTGAACAGCATAGGTTATCCAGCAATTCCTAGAATGTAAATAAGCATGCAGAAATGGCCAATAATGCGTTTTCATTTTGAATGCATTCACATCGGGAGGCTTAGACTTAATTTCTATCGTCACTCACTGTTTGGTTAACTGGTTAACTGGTTTGATTAACTGCCTAACTTTAGATCATATCTATATGACATAATGAGAACTTAAGGGTTTACTCTTTCCTCCGTCAGCTCCCGTATCCTCCCCAGTCGTCACCCCCAACATCTACAAACGCCTCATCATCCCGCACGGAATGACCGGCCCTTCCTCCTCCCACCCCAACACTTCAGCCGACATGCCTTCCCCGTCCACGGGTGCCTTGGTGGGGGGTATTCCCCCACTCAGCCAGGCTGGTTTGGCCCTTGAGAGTCCCCAGGAGGGGCAACTACCAGCAGCAGGGAACCACCAAGGTAAAAGCATCCAAGAGTAGTAGTGAGGTGTGCTGCTAAGCGAGTGGCGACTGTGCCAGTAGCTGTTTTTGTTGGTGTATAAGTGACATGATTTCCCAGTTCTGCCTCAGAAACAGCTCCTGCAGAGGAAAATAATAAATGCATTTATTATTTAACAGAAAATTGGAAAACAAAAGGCAGATATTTCAGCATTTCTACACTTCTACATATTTCTACTTAACTATGATGGGCTGTGTAAATATTTAAGTAAAATACTTTTTGTTGTAAAGCCAGAAAGCCAGAAAGAGGCAAAGGAAAATAATTTATTAAGGGAATCATTTAACAAATCTTGTGCTTTCCAAGCAAATCCAAAATGCCAGGTTTCTTTAGAATGATCATTTTTAGATGATGTGGGTCCCGTTGCACCCACAGTGTCGCCTAATTCTTAGCTATAAGCATCTTGAGATGACAGATATTGTGACTGAATACAAATAAAGCTGAACTGAATCCTTAGGTGCCCCTCCTGCCCAGACGCCTAACGGACCTCCAGCCTCGGCCCTCATCCAGAGCACTAGCTTCCTGGACTCAGTTCCTGTGACGCTGACCTTAGAGCCACGTGACTTGTTGGGCGTGGAGGAGAGCGCCGGCGGACCTCCTGCACTCAGAGAGGGCGGACTAGGAGCCGTTCCTAAGGATGGAAGAGGAGGAGGAGTAAAGTCAGTGGATGTGGAGCTGAGGAGGCGACAAGGAGAAGGCTTTGGATTTGTTATCGCCTCTCAGGAAGTGAGTGGAGGTGAGTGGCAAAGAGTCCTCCGTATGTCCAGCTCCTGTCGGCGTCACCGCCTGTTATATGATTGAGTTTTGTATTTTAGGTCATCTTTTGAGGTTACATTTAGGTCCTGGAGTTTTCAGTTTGTTTTTACCTCCCCTGTGCTCCCTGTTTCCTCGTATCCAGGCTTAGTCTTTGTGTTAGGTCTTTTTCTGTGTCATTACTTTGTACTGTATTTTGGTGCTGTCTCTTGTGCCATGTATTTAGCTTTATTTCCCATTTGTCTCATTAGTTTGATTTTGTTCACCTGTGCCTTGTTTCCCCAGCTGTGTTCTCTCTCCCTAATGACATCATGCCTCTATTTAAACCCTCAGTCTGCTTGTGTTGCTTGTTAACCTCCCCTTTGGGCCCCTGGTCTGTGTTTAGTATCGTAGAGTATTGTCCTCACTTTATCCGTCCTAGTTTGACATTCCTGTGTGTGACGCACAAAGAAGTAAAAGAAGTACAACAGAAACAGGATTCAAGAAGAATATACCTGAAACGGACAATAGAAAAACAACTGCTTCAAATTATCATTAAGCAAATGTTGTTTAGATGGTCTAGTGGTTAAATTGTGGCGATATTATTCTTCCAGCAAAAAGAAAATTTGACTGTTCATCCAAAACAAGAAGAGAAAGCAAACAAGTTATTTCCATTGATCACTAAATGGCGACAAATCAAACTGTTAGAAAAAGCAGGCAGTCAATTAGTGGAGAGAGCTATTGGACTTGAAAGGGACTTTCATTTGGTAATATATGTGATGCATAAGTAAGAAACACAACCTCTCTACTTAGCCCGAGGGGAAGTGGGTAATTTAAAAGTAAAGGAATTCAGTGGGCTGGATCACAGAGTGGGAAATGTTACCCACTGACACTTGAAATGGGTTAAAAATAAAACCTATTGAAATCCTTCAATCTCTCTGAAGATATAGGATGACAAAAAAATAAAAAAGAAATGATGGAAAATTGTTTTTCAAGCCTGCTGTTCACCAGCGATCCAGAGTTCAAGTTCATATTCAAATAAACAAGCATCTGATTTTGGAGGGAAGGGCAAGACTTTTTATACTGGTACATTTTTGGTTTCTGTTTGAACAAGCTTTGGTGCATGCAGATAAAATTTATCTGTATTTGTTAAAAAGGACCAGAGGAGAAACAGGAAGTTTTGAACCGGATATCCATTATGTTCCTTCTGTACATTCTGGCTACAATAGAAGCTGAGAAAAATGGCTTCGTCAGCCTCAGGCCAGAGTTACCTTACTGATATTTATACTGCTGTGATTTTAAGGCACTCAGCTGCAATAAAATAAAAGTTACTTGTAATAATTACAAAACAAGAGCACTTAGCTTATAAGTAACTATAACCCTGGGTACTAGATTTGCATATCACAGTTTAGTTTGGGTTAATAAGCAACTCGTTTCACATGTAAACAAGCCGCGGGTGTACAGGGAGGAGTTAAAGCTTTCAGATAAAAGCAGCACAGTAATACATAAATGCAGTCCAAGATTCCCTCCTCCTGAAACTGTGGTGGAGCTGACACAAAAAGCAGCAGAAGCTGGACACAGTACAGTAGCTGTGCAAAAGCACTGAGGGATTTTCCACAGCTGGGTTTGTGGCGACTCTCTGGTTGATTTCAGCTGCACCTGAGCTTCTCTGGTCGGCATTCAGCTGGAAGGAACAGAGAACTGAGCGACAATGATACACAGCACTCCACTGCACCTCCTCCTTTGGAAATATAACAATCATCTCCACTGTTAGCATTCCTTCCCCTCCACATGAGTAATTTCCCTCCCACCGCTATCTGCTCTGCATAAGCCCCGCCCCCTCTGACTGTCCCTCTATCACTCACTGCAGCTCAGCTCACTCAGTCCAGCTCCTGCTTTTAGAGCCGCAACCTGCTTCAAGCAGACAGCACAGAGAGACAGAAGGACAAACAGTGAGGACAGAGAAACAAGGACAGAGCATTGTTGAGGTCTCGGCTCGGTTCAGGTCTGAATTATCCATCATGTTGGAGCGACTGCAGTCAGCTCTGAAAACTGTCAAGGACTCCAAATGTAAGTTTAGTTTGGATTTTTAAGCTTTCTTCTAAATTCAAGGCTGACTTGGTTTCTGGGAGGTCCGTCCATCATCGTGTCTGTGCCTGAGCCGTATTGATTTAGAGTCCTGCTGTGTGCGGGTCAAAGGTACTCCTGAATTTGTGCGTGCACTGCTGTGGAACAAGTTTTCACAGCCTGCTCCTCTTGTGCTTTGTTCCCTAGTAAAGTTTTTTTTAAGAGGGTTTTTTGTCATCTGACTACAGGCTCTAACCAGATCGCCTGTGAACCATTTATTGTTGGGGTGAGGTTGCATAAGAAGAATCATTTCAGAAACTAGAAGTTGTTGCCTTTCAACACTGTTATCTTAAATGAGTTTTGTCCTGGGTTTGCATAATAATGGAAAAACCTACATAAAGCAGTACATTTGAACCCTAACCAACACGAACCTATTAAGAAAATAAATGAATCTGCAACTTAAATGTTTTCTTTCTCATCTAAAGAGCCACATGCTGCTTCTTTATGTTTGATGAGTCTCATCTAATGTGAGATTCTTCAAAGCTTCCAGTTGATACTAAAAGTAATATCAGATTAGATACTGAGGAGTCCACTGATTCATGTTTGTCCACCACACAAAAGGGAAAGTGAAGTTTTGTGAAAATACAGTTGCAGTGGCAACAATAACTGTTTCTGTTTCTGGGTGTCAGTGGCATCAGAGTCCACAGTGTACAGGACAAAATAACAGGCTTTCACACTTACTGCAGCATCTGGAAGAAACACTTGAATGTAGTCAGAGCTGGTAACATGTTTCTCTCCAGCTACTATGAATCTGTTTCCTCCCTTGCTCCCTCTTTAATCTAAATCTTTCTCCCTTTTATTCCTGTCTCCTTGTTCTCCTCCTCAATCTGTATCAGCTCTCAGGAATGTCTGAAATAGTTTCACCTCATTGAAACTGTGTGTGTGTGTGTGTGTGTGTGTGTGTGTGGACCAGTTTGAGTTTAGACCTTTGTGAGGTGTCTGGTCCTCACTGTGGCTCAGACTGTATGATGTGGTTTTTACTGTTCCCACATCATCAGTAATGCAAACATGCACAGGGCTGAAGGATGAGCTTGGTAGCAAATTTCAATTTTTAATTAAATAGTTCTTTAATTTTTGTTACCTTTGCTGTTTTAAAACAATGTGTGCGCCTGTGTGTAAGTTATGTAATATTAAATCTTCATGACATAACCCTTTGAAATTCATTCAGAGCTTAGCTTCATCTGCCGGCCTGTTTGTGTCCAGATGTGCTGTCTATTTCCAGCTGTGGTTCACTATTAAAGGAGTCCCAAAATTAACATGAGAATATATATGTAGCCTGTATTAATCCTTATAGTTCAACTATTCCTCTCATTTTCCATCTGTGTTTTTAGTTATGAATGATAGTTAAATAAAAGATTATTTATAATATCCTGGATCATTCTGACATCAAAAAGAAGTCATGTTGTACGGAGGTTTGAGAAAATGTAAACACTTTTCTAATGAATTTCTGGTCTCAGTTGCTAATTTCAAGCCTCACTGAAAAGAAACAACATTGAGTTGTAAATTATAATTCCATTTAAAGTCAAAGGGACAAATAAATACATTTTCACCATGAGCGTGCAGCATCCCTGGGTTTTTCAGTCACATGTGACCCCTTGTTTGGCTTCAGCATCCAAAGATGGTAATAGCAGAATCAGTCAGCAGCAAGAGGGCCTCATTAACCCTTTGTATCATATTTGATAGATGAGTTTCTGAGACCTCTATCGCATCAACATGATCAATACTTGCCATAATTTCAAAATGTTATCGACCAAACTCTTTTTTTTTTTGTCTAAAATGAACATTTTTGCTAATAAAAAGTTGCCAAAAACGGCCAATGTATCAAATGTCAAATCATAAACATGATATAGCAAAAAAAAAAAAAAGTGAATTTTGTTATAAGGGTTAATAATCATCCCAGTTCCAAAAAATCTGAATTTTCTGGCTATTTCTTGATGGGTTGGGTTTTACAGGGTTAACCAATGGGTGACATCACTGTGGCCAGATCCATCTTTGGCTGGAAACAACCACCAAATAGCCAAAAGGACCAAAAATGATACATAGTGATGAGCATTACGTGTCCTTATTTAAAAACTGACCCGTTGTTATACATGCTGACTTCTTTCCTGTCCCATTCCAGTCACACTATGAACAGCAAAGCTCCCATTCCGCATGATTCCCAGAGGAATGCCGTGACTCAAAGGATTTCTGAAAAAACGTCAGCCTGTGCTCCCGAGGCGGTCGTGTGTCGAGTGTGAATGCGTCTGTTCGTGCTTTAGCATTCGGAATAGGAGATGTTAAACTTTCTATTAATAGCAGCTTTAATCCATAATTCAGCAGAATTATGAGCTGGGCTGTGTGTGTTTGACAAACTGGAGCGCAGGTGACTTCAGGCTTATTGGACTATGAAATTGGACAGACACACACATTTGTCTTTCAGCACTTGTGAGGACTTCCTGTACATGATGCATTAACGCGCTTCTTACCCTGAACCTGAACTCTCACCTGTGCTCTAGCAGTCTTCTGAAGCTCTCCCAAGGTGAGCTACAGACTCAACGTCCTCGCAACGAGAAACATCCTCATGTATTTAACCATTCACCCGTAAAAGTCCCACAGCATAAAACTCCAAATATTAATACTCAGACATCTGCTTATTGCGCTGCTGACAGCATAACTCTGACTTTCTAAACACATAGAATTCAGTTATGTTGTGCTGCAGTGACGCGTGCTGGTATTACTTGGTTACATGTGGTCATATTTGAGTATTTATATTAAATTAGAGGCTATAGTCTGTATATAAATGGGAAGCATCAATAAAATCACTGCAAACATTCTGCTATGACACTGCTATAATCTGTCATAAAAGTGATGACAAACATATTTGAACCTCAGGACTCT